CTGAATTACCAAGAATATTAATGGTGAGAAGGACCCTAGCAGTTAGGGTTTTTTTCCCCCAAGGGCCATTAGTTCCCTAATGCAATTAACTTGGTTCGACTTGCTTTCCTCTTCCAAAACCAGACTTTTTTCGGTACTTTTGTTCTGCGTAGTCACTTCTCCAACAGAGATACTTCTCAAGTCTTCACCCTGCTAGCTTCCTGCCTTTGCCTTTGCACATCCATTATCCTCCCGTTTTCTGTTTTCATAGGCGAGTCCTCAAGGCCTGACATCGAAACCCCAGCACAGAAGGTTTCTGGGAGATCGTTACTTGCACAGGCAGTGGCAGGCTGCAATGGGAAGAGTCTGTGAGTGTTTGTGAACCAGACTTTTTTTCCCTGTGCCACTTCTCTTACCAATAAGCCCTGAGTAGGCCAGAAGGCAGTCCGCATAGTTTTCCTTGAGACAGCTGCTGACAGACCTGGACTCTGGTTGGCAGTTGGTAAAAAAATCAGCAAGGCGAGACCTGCAATAGGAAGAAAAGAGGGGAGGGCGCTTTAAAATATCCTGAGCCTCTAGACAGACATAACTTTTCTTTCTTCCTTCGTCGATATGCCTTCCTCCGCCCCGCAAAATGTAGAAAACGTGAACCCTTTAAAATGTTAGCATCCTCTCTTATACAAACCCCCATCTGTCCCCACCCTCCCCCAGCCCTCGCCCACCTGTGTGTCTGCTTATTTGCAGAGAAGTCTTCAGGGCGTATAACTAAAAAAAATCTAGGTGCTTTGAAGTTTCCATTCAATATTTATTTCTGACTAGGCTTATTTGCATCTTTAGAAAATATGTGTCTCTACACACACACACGGGAGATCCACACTGGGAAAATATTTACTTTATACAGAAATATGTCCCTGGCATCAAAGTAGGATCCTACAGCCCATCTGTGCCCGTAATTCCTACTGGCTTTAAAAATATGTATATCTGTCTTGTAAGTCATCTCTCATCCGCCAGCACTGGGGCAGTCATTTCTTTCAGCCAGGTGACAATGGGGAGGGGCTTGCCTTTCTGGAACTGAAGGAAAAGGCCAAGAGGGACAAGGTGACGCTCACTTTGGCTGTAGTTCCACTGTCTCTGACTGGGTATGATGGGCCTGCCGTTGGAGGTGGTGCCTGGAGGGTCCACGGATCAAAACGCGGCATCTGTCTGGAGTTTGCAAACTCCCCAGGGGCCAGCACGGTCTGCCCAGAGGCCCTGGGTGGTGGCGAAGTTGCAGAGACCCAGAAATAGAGAAGGGGCCGCAGACATGCTGGTCTGAGGAGGAAGAGGCCTCTTTGTGACCAACTGGCTCTTTTAATCTGAAGAGGATATTGTTGGAGAAATTCTGCTTGAGAGCTGGGCCACCTCTGAGGTCATCTCAGCAGACAACAGCTCTGTTTCTGTGTGAAGAACACAATGGACTGCCAGAGAATTTCAATTATCTGGCAATTATGGGAGACAATGAACGGTTGTCTCAGCTTTCTTCTCTGTAGCTCCCCCGAGTTGGCAGGCAACATACCCAGTGCCGTTTTCACTTCTTTCCTCTCAAGAAACTGTATTTACTTAGCGTATTTTATGATATATAAACACACAGACAGAGCACAGCGAGATGTGTGATGGTCACAAAGGTTTGTAAAAGCTGGGTAGGAAGCACACGTGTGGTCCCTTTACCGCAACTTGAACTAGAAGGGGATTTAAAGGCCTGATGAAATCATCCAAGTTCACAGCACACTGCAAAGGCTGCGCCGTGAGACTGGTCTCTCCTTGAACCCTTGTAAACAAGGCGTGTCTGAGCCTCCCTATCCATGCCGATCTGTGCACTCCGTATGTCATGCCTGGTTCCATCACTGTGAGTCCCCGGGGCAGATGCTGGAGCTCTGCTTTATTTTCTCTGCACGGCACCTGACACTCCTCAGAGAGACCCTTTGTATGGCTTCCCAGGCCGGGCCATGTGCAGAGCTAAGTGGCTTGGCAAAGTCCTCCATATGAGACTTGTGCATGCACGTGTGTGTGTGTGTGTGTGTGCGCGTGTGCGCACCCGGATCTCTCCCTGTTGGAGCCTTGCTGGTGTTTTCTGACTCTAATTGAACATGCTGAAGCGCATAAAACCTGGCCATTTTCTGTAGCCCGGTTAAAGGATTTATTTTTCGGAGGAACTCCCTAAAGATGGCTCAAGCTGACTCAATTGGCTCCAACGGCATCCAGCTTGGATTGAGTGTTAATTTCAGAGGTATCTTCCTGGTTGTGGAAGTTAATGATTTAGTGGTACTAGGCTTCTAACCCCGCAAAGGCCAAGTACAGCTCAGGCAGCTGAGGCTCCAAGTTGTGCACACAACCTGATCAGCTCTCCGCCCTGGCAGCCCTGTGCTCCCAGCCCTTCTCCCAGACATGGACGGAAGGTCGCTCTGTCCACGTGTCTCCTGTCTCTCGTGGTCTCTTCAGTCGACCATTAGCTGCACAGCCAGCCCCGTGATGCGAATTGCTGTCCTTCAGCACGAGGCTACTGCCACTAGACTCATTTTGCTTAACAACCTCAGAATTGACTCACAATTGGACTCTGGAATGGAAGGCTAATTGAGTCAGTCTGCTGCAGGGAGCATAACCCTGATTGGGAGAATAAAACTAGATGTACTGCTCTGAGCAGAACCTTGGACAGGCTGGTTTTTGAGAGATCATCAACACAGATCTTGGCTCTAAGACAAGCACAGCCAGCGGAGTAAGAGGGTTTCAAAAGAATCGCGAGCACATGCAGCACCACTAAAACACCACCGTTTCCATGGCTCCTTCGCATCTGACCCAGCTACTCGTGACGTGTGTATGTGGAGACAGGATGGTCACATTATAAAATTCATATTTACAGACCGAAAAGCTGCAGTGAGAAGTTTATACAGTCGTGTGCTGAAGCCAGCTCATTACCAGCTGACTGGTAAATTTTCAGGAGTTCTGCGCGTCAGTTAACATCACAGCGGTAGCTCGAAAGTGGGCTTGGTGGGAATATTTACACCATGGTAATCAGCAAACGCTGCAAAGGAGGGCTCTGTGTTGTTCTTAGAGAACCAGTTGTTAAATATCCCTCAGCACTGGATGTGGTCAATCCTGCTGATAAAACGTGCCTGTCCTGGGGGTCGGTTCCAGTCCTTTCTGGACAAGTATCCTCTCCCATTCCCAGTCACCTCTGGCCCACATGGAATGCTGGAGCACCAGTTAGCCTCCAGTCTCTGGAACCTTCCAAAGAAAGGAAACAGGCCTCCCCCAGATTCCTCCTTCCTAACTTCTCCCTTCCTTCCTTCTCTTACCAACACGGTCCTCTAAAATCTCTTAAAGCAACGTGTGTAAATGGTTACACGTATTGACAAAGCAGCTAAATTCTTGTCTGTTCCATTGACTGAATGATGTGTCAAATGCTTGTGATCTAATGATGAATAATTTCTCTGCCCCTGAACTCAACCGACAGTCTAGAAGCTGAGAGAAACAAGTAGAAAGATTATAATAATACAGTGGCTATTTCTTGATAAAAGGTAAGAAAAGCCGCTAATAAAAATAATACCTAACATGAATGAAGTATTTAGTATATGCCAGGTATGTTTTTACATGCATTATATTTTTTCCTGACAACTCTAACTAGGTAGGGACCATTATTTTATTATCCTAATTTTCCAAATGAGGAAAACACAGCCTACCACATTTAGACTGGAGTAAAATCGTGAGTAGCAGAAGCACGACTTTAAAACCACACATTCTGATCCCACATCCTAAGCTTTTCACACTGCACAGCTTCAGAGAGGCCGTGATATTGGGACTGAAATTTGGGAGGATGTGTAGGATTGATCAGGTAAAGGTGGAGTGGGGTATTCCAGGCAGAAGGAGGCAGCATACGAGAAAGTAACCACACTCAATAACCCCAGGTTACAATAACAAAGTGCAGGTGCGTGCCAGGCCCTGATCTCAGTGCTTGACATGTGGTCACATGTTTATTCTCACGACAACCTGAGCAAGTGATACTATGGGCCCCGTTTTACAGATGAAGAAACTGAGGCAAAGAGAAGTAACGTAACAACTTCCCCCCAGGTAGTAGAGCTGGAATGGGACCACATTCGCTCGGACTCCAGAGCTGAGATCATCCTCGACCACCACACTTAACACATGTACCATCCAGAACATTGGGAGCCATTCCCTGGGGCCAGCAGGGCCGCAGGATGCAAACGGTGAGTGACCAGAGATGGTGCTGGCAAAGCCGCAGAGCCTCGAATGACCCAGGTGTTGGGACTTTATCCTAAAAGCAATGGGAGCCACCGAAGGATTTTAAACGGAAATAATAGGATCAGATGTGCATATCAGGAAGGCTCTTGGATCTCTCTATTGTTTTGCAAAGATTTACTCAAAACTTACTACTCTGTGCCCTCACTGTCGCAGCCGCAATGGGGAGGGCAGGAAACAAAAATGATTACTTGGGAGGCTGCAGCCAGCAGTGAACCAGAAGGAAGAACAGAGGCCGGAAGGGGAGGAAGGAAGGAGGATGCGCTGAGAGGTGAGCACCGACAGAATGGAAGTCAAGACCGTAGAAAGGAGTGGGTAGACTCAGGGCATGGACACTCAGCACACAGTGGGGCCACAAGGGGAAAAACAGGAATGAGAGAGGACAGGCCTGCTATGCCCACGGCCCCAGCACCCGGCCAGGACAGCCCCTCTGCACACTCTGGGTTAAGAATCATGCTGTAATCTGTTTGAATGGTGTCCCCACCTGGGCTGCAGAGATCCAGACTAGAAAGCTTTAATATCCAGTGTAGGATTAACAAAGAAAACCCACAATTAGATTTCTTTTGGAGACATGAAATCTCCATGACGACAGCAGTGATGAACGTGATTGTTTTTTTCTCTGAGAAAATGAAAATGAAATGAATAGGCACTAATGTAAAAATGTATCTCCCTCCGAAAGAGAAAATTTCCCACCCTTAAAGAGGAGGAAAATGCCGGCAAATGCCAAGTTGGCCTTAGGAAATCTGCTGAAGAGAAAACAGTGGTTTATGCAGAAAATATCATATTAAAGGAAGCATGCTGTTAACTGGAAATAGAAAAATGATTAAAATGATAAAATCTAGGAGAGTCTTCTCAAACAGCAGATGGTCTTTTGACAGTGGGGAAAATAAATCATTTCTCTACTTTTTCTGCAACACTTTTAGGAAAATAATGTTATGGCGAATAGGTAAAAATCCTACTAGAAATGCCCAGGTTAACTCATCCTGGATTATCCTCATCCCTTAAATGTTTCTCCAGGACAAACCCTACTTGGACACAAGCCGAGTGACTGGGGGGACTGAGCCCTGGACTAAGAGTAGTGAGATCTTGAATGAGATCCAGGCTCTGACGCCAATCAACCTGAATTCCTAAATCCGTTGCTTACTTACTTAAATTCTTGGATTTCCCTCCCACTTCAGAAATACAGTCCGTGGGACACTTGAAGCTACTTGGGGTGGGGTGGGAGAGACATTT